GTAGATAAAGAGGGGAAAAAAGTTAACAGAGTGAGTTGTGGAAATACTGAGAATGAAGCAGAGAGAGACATGGAGTGAGTGCATTAAACATTCATCTAACTAAAGTTCCAGAGAAAGACAAAATGGGCACACGCAGAAAATGCCTACGAACGTGGCAGGACTGATAAAGACAAGATTCCTCAAATTCCAAGGTACTGCCTAGAGGGAATAAAAAAGGTATTTCCATACAGTCACATTAGAGTGAAATTAGATATAAGACTTTAAAAGCTACTACCAATAAAAGACAAACTACTCTGAGTGAAAATATAATCAGACTGACAGCTAGATTTTCAGCATCAATAATGAAAGCCAGAAAACATAAGAATAAAATCTTTAATGAATCAGGATAAAACAACAAACTGTTAACTTGGACCTACAGATCTATTAAAATATTCTTCAAGAGTCGAGCGTGGTGGTGCACATCTGTAATCCCAGCACTCGGGAGGCTGAGGCAGAAGGATCGTTGTGAGTTCAAGGCCAGCCTGGGCTACGTAAGTGAGTTTAAGGCCAGCCTGAACTGCATAGTGAGACCCTGTCTCAAAGAGAAAGAGAAAAAAAAAAAAAAACAACCTTCAAAAATAGAAGCAAAACAACTTTCCAGACAAACAAAAGATTCTATCATGAACAGACACTCCTAGGAGAATTTAAAAGCACATGCTCAGACAGAAGAAAACATGAAAAAAGTATAATGACAATAAGCGAGGTAAAACAGAAATATGTAACAGCAGAAACACAACATACACAGTTCTTGCTCAGTTTTAAGGAGCAGGAGGGAACTAACAGACTTTGGTAAGCTGGCATGTTCAAACGTCTCAGGGGCACAGCACTACTGAAATTTAGGGCCACAGAATCCCCGCTGAGGAGAGCTGACACGTACTGCTGACCATTCAGCAGCATCTCCAGCCTCTAGATGCCAGTATACGCCTCCTTGTGATGATCAGAAAGTCTCCAAACTTTGTCAAATATCCCAGGAAGGTAAGAACCAGTGCTCTAGGGGAGCCACTAAAATACCAATAATAATGAATGAAATTTGCTTAAAAAGATGTAAACTCTCAAAGAAAGAGAGACAACAGTTTAGCAGATGAACAAAAGTCTCAACTATCCATGGAGAAAAAAGGAAAATCTAAATTGGCAGAGCAAGGGGACTTGGGACAGATAAAACCCAACAAGTTTAAGGAGCAGAATCTGCAAATGGCTCAAGACCTGACAGCATTAGGAATCTCTGGTACTTGGAGGTGAAGGCAGGATACTAAAATAAAGAAGACCAGAACTGCAGAATCACTTTATGCCTGGCCACTAGGCATGTAAACCATACCCCAGCGGAGTATGGAAGTTTATTCTCTCTGAACAGGAAAAAACAGTAAGATCCTCAGTTGAGAGACAACACAATTGGGATGTAAGTGCCAGGGAGAGGGGAGACTAAGGGACCATCTGCAAAATGAAGGTGACACCAAATCCTGACACTCCTTACATTCTGGGAGAAGAGCTGAAGACTGCTATGGACACTGTGATTACTCCACATGAGAAGACTGAAAGGTTCTGATGTTGGAGACTCCGAGTAAGCACCTAACCTAGATTCCCAATCAAGTGAAGTTTAAAATGCCTTGTAACTGAGAACATTATTTCCCACCTAGAATGATATACCCAAGCTTACAATATATTAAATGTGAAAGCAAAACAATGACAATTTCTCACACACACACACACACACACACACACACACACACACACACAGTCTCAATTTTATCTCCCACATGCAATGAAGATGCACTCCAGCCATTTGGAAATAACTATTTTTGTACAATTTATACAGAACTAGAAATAAAAGCTGAGACCTTGAGAGACAAAACACTCTCATCTACTTACTGAAAAAAAGACAACTAACAATCATGTATGTTAAAGGTTTCTGTGTACACTTTTAAATTTTTTATTTGTCTATTGTTCTGCTTTTTCCTTAATTTTCCCAAATTGTAAGATTTTACCTGGATAGTTTGCTTTCAAATCTTCCTAGGTCTACAATTCAAATAAAAATTTCCAAACTGTCTTACTTGAATTAGGTGTGAACATTTTCTCTTTCTTAAGCACTAAAGTAAAAATGTAAGTTAACACCAAACCAAAGCTATAAATAGCCAAGTGGAAAATTGGACAAGAACGGAAATTATTAACTACAAAAAGCTTTTTGATTCTGCTAAAAGCAGGATGTGTTACCTGATTTCGCCAGCTCCTACCCTCCTGGAGCTCTGTGTTTATTTGTACATGCTAACTGCCTCATGTAAGAGCAAGATGTCCCTGGCAGGTGCAAAGGCTCCAGCCCATGAAACAGCAGGACGTCACTCCATTCTACCAATCCTGTCCCTCCCTCCCCATTTCCCCTGCACATCTCAACAGTCCCAAGGCAATTCATCAGACCATGAAATGAGTATTTTTCAAAGTACAATTTGTCAATTCCCTACACCACCCTGCAAGAAGTCTGAGAGAAGGTAAAACTAAAAGGGAGAAAACAGTATAAACACTTCTTAGAGAAAAAAATTATTTTAGAATGAATTATCAAATTTACAGAATGATTCAGTTAAAGCAAAGGAATTCTCATTACTTCCCTTATACAGAAATGTAACATGACCTTGTACCACTGACTGACAAAGAGATAAAACGGAAATACTTGACGGACATGCTAAATCAGTGGAGGACATTGTTTCTATTGTTTGGATGGATCACAAAGTATGTATTTTTTAGAAATAACATTGGTTTATGTGTAGAGTTAGTGTCTTTTAATACAAAAGGAAAGCACAGGCAGTAGACTTTGATCCAGTTCAGGAACCAGTAGGCAAACTACAAAGTTAGGTATTGTCCAAGAGATTAAGAGGTAACTGGCATTAATATAATAAAGCATGGAGAGAATTTCTGGTACAGTATCTCAGAGTCAAGTGTTTTACCATGCTGATACCAAGAAAAGATATTCACTTCTTTGCTTCTTAATAATGACAACTGGGAAGCTCACTGGTTGATTTCTTAGTAATTCATACCTCTTGATCTCCTTGACCGTGGAAATCTTTGCTTATGCTTGCGTCCCGCGCCCATCGGGGTGGTTTCCAAGTCCTTTCCTGTGTTCCGCGGTTATAGTAGAAGCAACGCCCTGAACTATCTTTATGAGTTTCCCATTCTCCATTAATCTGAATTGCTGGACTCCCGGGAAGAGGGGGGAGAGCAGACTGAGATATTTTCAGTTCCTGTAGGTTGGCGTACACAGGAGAATCTGGTCTTCCTTGATTTGGCGGTGTAGTTGCCTGTGAAATAAAAACTTTAAATTTCATATTTAAAATGGCACAACATTTACAAATTAAAATGAAATTAAAGACTTATAAACATATATACTAATTCTCTTAAAAACAGAAAACAAATAAGGATGCGGTGTAGCTCACTGGTACCAGGTCTGGGTTTGATCCCCAGCACTGGGCAAAAAAAAGGAGGAGGAGAAGGAGGAGGAAAATAATGACAAAGAATTTAAAAGAGAAAACAACTGTCAACGAATTTTTAAAAAAACAAAAAAATAAAGCATATATACTCTAAGGAAAATAGATGAAATGTACTGTACATACACATGATATTCTAAAGAAATATTCTCAAGAAATTACTCAAATTTTAATATTCATAGTTTGAATGAAAATGAACAAAAACTTCAAACAGAACCCAAAGTATATTACATACTATCTTCCACTCTAAAAGAATACTCAACTAGGAGCTGTGGGTTCTAGTTCAAGACCTGGCAGTGTAAATTTGCATAACACTGGCAAAGGTTATTTCACCTCTCTGAAAGTGAAATTTCTAATCTCAATAAAAGGAGGAATTGGGCTAAACCAACAAGGTCTTCTTTGGCTCTAAAATTGTATTATTCCAGGTAATTTTGTAAAATATAAAAAGTCTTACACATGGATAGCTCAGTTTTTATTCAAAAAACTATCAAAATAAAGATTTTTATATTCTGAGATCTAACATCCAATCAAAAATTAAGTGAAACATAAAGGAATACTTAAACTAAAAATTTACAAGATTTTATGCTTTACCCATACCCATAAACAAATTAATGTCTACTACTTTCCTTATGAAACTTTAACAGTGATAAAATAATAATTAGTAGTAACTTGCTGATGTATTTATTTAATCTTAACCTACAGTTTTTATTTTCAAGTATCTCACTAGATGTCAGTAATGAGCAAAATTCTCTTCAGATACTGCATAAGGAGACCTTATAGTTTGTGTCTGAATGCCCCCCCAAAGACTCATGCAGTCATGGAGCAGCCTTCTAGAGTTTATGATTGATTCATGCTCCAGTGCTGGGATTACGGGTGTGAGTGCTACACCCGCCCTGGGGCGGACAGTTTGCATACAATGTGAGAGAGGGAGACAGGCTGCTTGCCACCGCTCCTCACTCTTGCTCTTGTTGCTTTTGCTTATGAACGGTTGCCCTCTGCCATGTGGCCCTCTGCCTTGGAGCCAGCCAGGTATGGCCTGAAACCTCCACAAACTGTAAGCTAAATAACCCTTTCCTTCCTTAATTTTGGGTGTCAGGTATATTGTCTCAGCAACGAGAGAAAAGTAACCATGACAGACACTGAAAATTCAATTAAGTTGTCAGAATTCCAGTTGCTGAAGAAAAAACTTCACATTTGAGAAGTGCTCACATTATTTGAATTTCTGTATGTATCTTTCTTTTACAACGGAGTTTCTCAGTCTCAACACCACTGCTTTTAACACAGATGATTCTTGGTTGTGAGGGCTGTCCCACACACTGGGCATTCACTTGCACTCCCACCCTCTGCCCACTTGACAGCAGGGTGTGCGTGTGCACATGCACACAAGCATGCATGCACATGCACAGATGCGCGCGCGCACACACACACACACACACACATCTCTGTTTTGAAAGGTCTCCAGACACTGCCAAATAACTTCTAGGGATAAAAATCCTGAATGAGAGCCACTGCTTTACTATATAAATTCTAGAGCTACATTCAGATGTTCAACTACTTTTGTCATATATCCAGAGTTTCCTAAATGCTTAAAAATACTGTATTTTAATTTGCACTCTGTTTATGTACTACGCTTATTGACTGGCATATGTTGAACCATTCTTGCATCCCTGGAATGAAACCCACTTGATCGTGGTGTATAATCTTTTTGTTGTGCTGCTGAATTTGATTTACAGTATGTTAAGCAAAATAAGTCAGATGCACAAAGATAACTGTATCATCTTCTCATAGGTAGGAACTAAAAAAAGTGTCAACCTGAAAGTAAAACAGTGGTTACTAGGGACTGGTAAGGGTGTGGAATGGAAGGGTACAGGTAACAGGGTAGATGAACAATAGCTGGATATGATCAAGGCACAATTTAAACATCTGAGTATCACAATACATTCCATTAATATGTGTTAATAAATTATTTAAGAAAAAAATAAGCCAGGCATGGTGGTGCACACCTGTAATCCCAGCACTCAGGAGGCTGAAGGAAGAGGATCGCTGTGAGTTTGAGGCCAGCCTGGGCTGCAAAGTGAGTTCAAGGCCAGCCTGAACTGCATAGTGAGACCCTGTCTTAAAAAGATAGATGGACAGGTAGACGGACAGACGGATGGACAAGGAAGGGAGGGAGGGAGGAAAGTAAACGTGAATGGAAATGCGAAATGTTTTTACTGAAATTAAAGTACCTTAACTTCAAAAATAACATTGGTGTATAAAATACTTTTTTTTTTGAGACAGGGTCTTGCTGTGTAGTTCAAGCTGCCTTGAACTCACTATGTAGCCTAAGCTGGCCTTGAACTTGCAGGGATCCCCTGCCTCAACCTCCAGAGTGCAGGGGTTACAGGTGTGCACCACCACACCTGGCTAAAATACATTTCAAAGAGTGTAGATCACAGAATAAACTTTAAAAGAGAAAACAGCAAAAACCCAAAGCACATACACGGTTGTAAAATGTTTACCATTGGTCTTATTACACAAGATGGTTATGTAGGCACTGGATTAAATAATGCAAATTACTGTTTTAAAAAAAAAAAAATTGCTAGCTTCAAATTTAAGACTATCACACCAAACAGAATATTTCCATGAAGAAAAATTTTCCATGGAGACTGATAGCCATTTATTTCTCTGATGGACTAGTTTCACATCCTGGTAAAGTAGCCGTAACAATGGTTTCTGACAAAGACAAGTTCTATTAAGATAAACAATTCTGTACAATAAATCCTTTTTCAAAGCTTTATCTAGAGATTGTTTACTCAACAAGTATCAAAGGAGTCTTACTTTATTCCTGAATCTTGATTAGAACTCTAAGAAAACTAAATGCTAATATACGCGTATAGCCACTTTTTAAATTGTAGACAAATCCTACTCCGTCTTTAAGAAACAACTGCTTCCTGGGGCTGGGGATTTAGCTCAGCGGCAAAAGCGCCTGCCTGGCAAGCGCAAGGTCGTGAGTTTGGTTCCCGGTACCGGAGAAAAACCAAAAAAAAAAAAAAAAGAAAAGAAACAACTGCTTCCTAATTGGCTAAACAGTTCAAATTTAAGCAGTTATTCCAACTGAAAACTGAAATGCTTCACCAGACCATAAGGCTAGAACAATTCTGAAGCAAAAGCAGCAAAGAACTAAAAGAATGAGTACTGTAGGTGTTTTATTTGTAAATACAGATGAAAAATATCCTAAATAAAATATAACCAATCAAATCCCAACAATACAATTAAATAACAAACCAATCAAACCCCAACAATACATTAAATCAAATCCCAACAATACATTAAATAAATCCAGAAGAAGCAGAGTTTTAAAGAAAGACTGTCTTTAGGAAATCTACTTCACAGACATCAAAGAAAACATTTGATAAAATTCAATACAGATTCTGGATAGAACTTCTATCAAGTTAGGATAGGTAATACTTCTCTAATTTGACTTCTAAAAATTATAAATATTTAAGCATCATAGTTAAGGCAGATAAGCACTTTAAGTCAAGAATGATACTCAAGATGCAGTTATCACTGTTTCTATTTGGCACTGTACATGAAGTCCTGAACAATATACGGGCTATGAAAAATGAATTAAACTCCTAAGTATTTAGAAGAAAAAAACCTGACATGTGCTAGAATATTACGGGTGCCAAAAGGAAGAGACCTGTAAACAAGTGAGCAGACCTTTGCAACAAATACATAGGAGCCAGCCAGGTGGAACCGGGGAGGAGGAAGCAGCATGGTGTACAGTCAGGGAAGAGAGATCTAAGGAGCCACAGCCACGGCAAAGAGCCTGTGTACCGTGATAAAAGGCACAGACGCTGCCCAGCTGCTTCTAGGAAACGGTGCAGACGTTACGCCGGGAAGTACATTCTCATCTGAACTTGAGGAAGGAATATAGAGTTTAGAGGGGCACGACTAGAAGCAGAGATCGGTTAGGCAGGTGGGTTGCTCTAGTAGTACAGACGGAAGAGCAACAGGACAAAATGACAGGAACGGAGAAGCAAGAGCCAAGAAGTAATTTAGAAGGTTAAATTCACATAGAGATTATATGTTTGTGCCAAATATGGCTTGTTTTCATGTGAGTATTTCATATTAATTAAAGTCAAGATGAAGAACAGTATGGAAACAGCGGCAGATGAGTTCTACTAGGATATAAACCTTTTTTTAAGAATCCAAGTGGAAATGTTCACAGATTGCTGGATACAGATTCTAAGCTCAGCACAGAAATCAAGGCTAAAACTAAAAATGGAAAAGTTACCAGGATGTAGGTGGGGTCCATAACTTAAAAGAGCATGCAGAATGAGAAGGGGAAGAAAAGAGTAATCGTTCTATGAATGAACAAATGAAAGTAGGGGACTGGGTAGTTCAGTGGTGGGTGTTGGCTTGGCATGGGCAAGGCCCTGGATTCTGTGAGAGGTGGGAATAAAAATCAGTGCAGGGTCTAAGGAGGTAGCTTTGGGGGAGGTGCTGGGGACTAAACACAGGACCTTCGCCCTACCTCCTTCTGTTTTAATTTGGGACATGGTCTTACTAAACTGCTAAGTAGCACGGTAGCTTTTACTGTTATAATTATCACTGCAAATAATTATCACCAAAGAGAAAGCATCCAGCAAAGAAGGCAGAAAAGAGAGTCAGAAACAGGTCTACCAGGAAAAGGCTGTATGGGAAGTCAGGGAGAAGGAAACTCCAAGAAAGGGACAGACAACAGTGCCCCATCCAAAGATTTCAACCCAGGAGCTGAGAACAACAGATTCAACAACTAAGTGACTAAAAAGACTTCAGCTACCAGCCTG